CTGCCCTTTTTTAGCTCTGAAAAATTAAATAGTGATTTGAGTAAATTTGTTTCTTGAATATACCATTCCACTTTTCAGCAGTATCACTGCTAGGAAGTATACCTGGTACCTCTGTTCAAATAATTGATATCTTCAAAACAAGCAGTCAAGAACAGAGGAAGCTGAAGTCTATCCTCTTCTACCAGTTACACCTCCATGATGTTTGTCTCCCTCAAATTTTTTGTGTGATGTCTTTGGCTGCAGTTTTTATTCATTGTATAGCAGTTGACTGAGATTTGAATTATGCCTTCTCAGTGAGGCTATCTAGATGTAACTGAGAATGTAGTTTACATTGCATATTTTTGCACAGAGTGTCTGAAGACTGGGAAATAATAGTTGTGTAGATATCACATTTCTGTGTGCACTTGCCATCTAAAAAAACAGTATTTTTTTTGCTTTCAGTCTAAGTTCCTCCAATTTTTTGGAGAAGTTTTTGATGTTCCATCTGCCATTTGCTTCACAGACAGAAATAGCTGGAAGATGCGGAAACTGTCTGAATTGAACTTCTAGGTATTTAGGCATGTAGGACTAGTCTGCTGCCGGCTATGTTTTCCTTTTAAACCTCAGGTTTTGTTTCCTAAATTGTATTGTTCTACTGCATTGGCTTCTTACTGTATTTATTTTTCAGTCTGATTTTAGCAAATTGAAATGTATATAAAAGTGTTGCCTTTATTGTGTCTATAATACATTGGACAACTTGCTTGGGGATTAGAAACCTCTTGAAAGCTGAGTTTTCTTTCTGTGCAGAAGCTCTACTGCTGCTGTGCAGAGAAGAGCAGCATTAGCCTCCTACCAGTCTGGTGTGAGGCAGGGTTACAGTTTTGTGGACATTATTCACCAGTTACAATTTTGTGGATGTTGTTCATCTGTTTGAGCCAAAATTGATTTATAGGTTATTCAGTCTCTGTGCAAAGATTATTGCTAATGCTTTGGTTATACAGTTGCCCCATTATCAGATGATACCAATGGAGAAAATTTTAGACTTTCAAATGAATGTCTTTATTTTTATAACATGCATGGTTTTTTTTCCTTTCCTTTTTTTTTTTTCTTTTAATAAAACACATTCCCGAGTGTGAGCTACAGTAGATCTTAGGTTGTTACTAAAAAGGTATATTTGTGCATTTATACAATGCTGGAATAAGTTCCTGGATTGATAGCCACAAAAAAATAAAAATAAAAAAAAATATTATCTATTAGCTGAAGGAAAAAAGAAGAGATATGACAAGTTTATGTGTCCCTATTAACTCTTAATGGCTACAGGGACAAAGATACCTTAACATTGATTTAGTGTAGATTCATCGTAGCTGAATAAGATTGCCTGAGGTGAGAGTAAAACAACATGACTGAAGAAGTTATAAGATCCTATTGAGAATCATTCATATCTTACATAACTTTAATTACCTTCTGGAGAAGGCTAAGTCGCTCTTTCCATTTTTTGCATAGAGAATGAGTAGTGACTATATACTTGTGTATATGACTCAGTAGTTGGTGAGAGAAACATATGCTCTTACTCCTACTGTAACCAACCTTGCCAGGATTATAGGCTGCTCTGGCAGGGCCTTTTAAATAATTTCTTTTGCAATTGTCTCCAACCCTTTATTCTGCTTATAATTCAGATTGAGAGGGACCTCAGGAGGACGCTAGTCCAACCCCTTGCTGAAAACAGGTGTCAACTGTAAGGTCAGACATGTTGTCCATGACTTTATCTATTCGGGTCTTGAAACCCTCCAAGGATGCAGAATGCACAGCCTCTCTAGGCAGCCTCTTCTGCTGCTTGGCTGAAGTCAGAACCATCCCTGGTTTAATTTATTACCATTATCTCTCTTTTTTTTTTTAATATTTTTTATTGCTATGCAACTCCATAAAAATCTAGGGTCCCTCATTTGGTAGTCTCCTTTTAGGCAGTGGAACGGTACTGTTAGGCACCCCCAAAACTTTCTCTTTTTCAGTCCAAGCAAGGCCAGCTCCCCCAGCCTCTCCTTACAGGGTGCATTCTCCAGTCCCAACCATCTTGGTGATCCTCCACTGGCCTTGCTCAAGTTTGTTGATGTCTTTCTTGTATTGGAGTGGTCATATTATACCCAACTGGACTAAAGATTGCAGGGTAAAGGGGAATAATGTGAGCTCCTTGTGCACTTGAAAAATATTGCAATTCAGAATCCAAGAAAAGCATGAAACAAATCTGGAGCCTATTTAATTTCTGCTAAATCTGAAGAGAATGTGCTCTTGTCTGCGTCAGAGCTCCCTGGCAAGCCCTGTCACCCTTATCTAAGAAATCCTTTATCTTAAAAAATGTCAGTACATTTCTTCCTTTGCTTTTTTCTCTTATTCCACAAAGATAAGTAATACCTGCAAAAATAATTTTTTTGAATTGGCAATAAGTTACAGTGTGAAGAACAAAGAAAAACTTAATAAAATTAAAAGGTAGGCAAAGTGAACCAAAATAAAAAGAACCTCAGCAATTGACTCACTACAGAAAGCGTTGTCTCAAAATTTCTGATCCAAGGGATAATAGAATTTAGTATCTTGAAATAAATGAATAACAAAAATGATGGACTTACATTCATTAGGATAAATTTCAGATATTGGGATTTGCAGACATTTCAAGCAGTAGGAGCAAAGAAACTACTTTCCTTCAGTTAGAGAGATTTCTTGTAGGCTTGTGATTGGGAGGCTTGTTAACAGGATTGTGACATTTTATAGCAGGCCAGAGAGCTCACTACCAGAGAGAGTGTGTTGGATTTTCATAGGTAATGACTGTGCTATAGGGGCAGGAACCAGTTTGCTAAACACATTTGGTATCAAATAAACCCTTGTAGGGTTATGTGCTTTCAGTTAAGTGCTGTTCAAATAAACCCTTTCATTTCAGTACTCTTCAGATCCCCTTTCTTGCTCCTTTCACATCCTTGGTTAGCTTAAAAATGTCCTACTCCACCTCCTGTATCTCCTATACCAATGAATGTCTTCAGGTAAGCAAAAGTATGAAGGAGGGAAATTTCTGGGACGCTAATGACGTACAGGTGAATAAATAAGACTGTGTTTCCTTCTCATATCCAAAATAATTGGTGAAGCATAAGTGAATCCCGCTTTCTGTGACTGTTAGCAAGAACACAGATATCAGGACCCATGTTTCTTCCTGCATGACAATGCTGGTCAGATGCTGTGGTGAGGTTTTAAGAGGCAGGACAAGAAATCCATTCTGCAACATTTATGGTTGCTATTGCTGAAAGCCAAATTACAAGCAATAGGAACGAATGAGCTTTTTTTTTTTTTTTTTAGGGCATGAATATGAAACTGTATTTGTTGTAGTGATATAACCTGTTTTCTACAGTGCAAGTATTCATCCTTACTGATTCTGCATACTTTCTGGATTCATGCTGAATTCATATTTTAGATCAAAGATCCTTCATTTTTTAGGCAGATCTCCCTGTTTCTGTCTTTCTTCTCTTTGCCTTTTTCTTCCCCCCCTTTCCCACCCTGCCCTTACTCCATAGGTGTCCAATATGGCCTTTTTATTGATATTTTTCTTTTTCTCATCCCTGATGTTGTTGATTTGATTGATGGCTTTGTCTTATAGTCTGAAACCCTCATGCTCCTTTCCAGAGCTCATCTTTTACAATTTGGATGCTTCAGAGGCTGTGGAGTGATATTAGTAGGTTATGCTAGGAATTTTTTAATGTAACAGTAGAAATTGCTGTGCAGCTATTTTAGGATATTTACTGGAGTTAGTACAAGGTTGCTAAAGAAATATGGTAAAGAGATAGTAGGACTGAAATACTGCAACAAGAGCATGACTCTATCTAATGCTGTTCTCTTCCTACAACATTGTGTTCTTGTCAGCCAAATAATGACAATACTGAATAATAGGCTTCAGGGGCTGATACTGGACAGTGGTTTACTGAGAATACAAGAGCACATATAAACTTGACTGTTGCATATTATGTTTTTGTTCATTAAAATGAATTGAATTCATTCTGTGTGTGTCCAGTTCTGGACTCCTCATTACAAGAGAGACATACACACACTGAAGAGAGTCCAACAGAAGGCCACAAAGATCGTTAAGGGCCTGTAGCATCTCTCCTATGAGAAAAGATGCTGTTCAGTCTGGAGAAGAGAAGGCTCAGGGAGAATCTTATCTATGTCTATAAACACCTGGTGGAAGGATGTAAAGAAGACAGAGCCAGGCTCTTTTCAGTGGTCCCCAGTGATAGAACCAGAGTCAATGGGCACAAACTGAAACACAGTATGTTCCCTCTAAACATCGGGAAACATTTTTTTACTGTGAGGCTGACTGAGCACTGGCACAGGTTGCCCAGAGAGGTTGTGGAGTCTCCCTCCTTGCAGAGATTCAAAAGCCGTCTGCACATGGTCCTGGGCAACTGGCTCTAGATGTCCCTGCTTGAGCATGGGAGTTGGATCAGATGACCTCCAGAGGTCACTTCCAGCCTCAACCATTCTGTGATTCTGTGGTCTTTGGTTATTTTCCCAGTAGTGAGAAACTTTAAAGGAAATCTCTATCCTTTACTGTAGTTCTGATAAAGTTAGTTAGGAAGATATCATGCAATTGGAATAAACTATTCCTAACATCATGTAATCTGAAACTGTTCTGAAGAGTAAAAGCGGGCTGCACCATCAGCATAGAAATGATAGCTGTTTTCAGCTTCAAAAAGAGTGAATGAACATTGCAGTAAGTACCTACTAATGCTGATGTAAGTACTGGAACTGCAGCTACAAATGGGACATCTAATAGCCATTTGTGAAGGAGAATAAAGGGGTTTTTTTGGTCACATCATTATATTACATAGAAAAAGATGTCGCTTTCATGATGGCAGGACCTTGACTGAGAGTCAAGTGGTTATCTGCAAGAGATAAGGTGAATCTGAACAAGAAAATTAAACTGCTGAAAATAAGTTATTTAATTTTTTAAATTTATCTTTTTTTTTTTGTTCTTCAAACAGTGGAAGCTCTACATTTGGGAACACTGATGGCGGCACATGGCTATTTTTTTCCAATCTCAGACCATGTTCTAACACTAAAGGATGATGGCACCTTTTATCGATTCCAAGTAAGTGTTTTCAGTGTGTTCTTGACTTGCGCAAATAGAGGCTCATATTAAAGGCCTTACACAAATGTTCATAGCAAATTTTAACCGTACTTTGTCTCTTATGTAACCTAGCAAATGGTGGCAATTCCCCTTAAAGTAAAGAATGGTAGAAGGATTCTGCTTAGAAATTAAATCAGTAAACTTTTGGTAGTGACCATTTTGATCCCTGGAAAAGCTGTGATAGTGCTAAGTGTGGAAGTATGTCTCATGAAATAAATTAATCTATTATTTTTTAATTATAGTAAAGGAAATGAAATTATCTTATTGAGTCTTGTTCCTAAAATAGTCTTGGTTTGGAAAGGAGGAGGTGTTTTAATTATTAGGCCTATAGCAGAAATATGATAAAATATTGAAAGTAATATTCATACTCTTTCTTAATGGGAGGATTTCCTTATTGGTAACAGAGTACTATTGAAGTAATGTGTAATCTTCAAACAAGTACAGACATGTTTCCACAGTGATCTGTCAGTCCCAACAAACATGCAGATGCTTCAGAACAAGCTGGAATGATGTATGTGTATGTATATGTATACATATGCCTACATGTAAATTATTCAATACCTACATATACCTATAGTATATTTCAAATTAAGGGCTTGGGGAGCAGGAGTGTTGCTTTTCTAATAATGAATAGCAAGCTAGAAGTTTGCAGAAAAATATCACCTATGACTTGAAACAAATATCATTTTACAGTATCTGATTATATATTCTAGAGAAGCAATTAACTTTGCTTGTCATGTGCTACCTTTGACAATGGTGGTTGTATTCTGTATTGCTCTTCCTATTAGGTGGTCTTCCAACTAGGTATCACCAACAGCTGATCTGAGATCTTCCCTAGATATTTGTTGCTTTGAGATTATATGGTGGTTATCACTATGAAACTATACATGATCGTTTGGTAATCCTGCTCTGTTAGTTCTCACCATGTTAAATACTCACAGAAAAGTAATACCTGATAGAACAAAAGGTATTGTCTTCAAGATACTTAAGTCTAAGCTTTGTCTTAAACATTGTTTAAATAAGAAGCCATCAAGAATAAAATAATTGGTCTTTAAAATGCAGAATAAAACTGTGATGTATTGTAGATCAATCACAGTCTCAAACATTTTATTAGATTAATTGCTGTACAATACTTTCATCAATATTTTGGCTTGAGTTCTGTAGACCCACGTAAGGGAAGAGTAAGGTTCATAGTATTTGGTCTAAAAGAAATTCTTAGTGTGTATATAATTAAATATGTACAGCACAGTCTGTCAAGAAAGAAAATGATTATTGTATACGTGCATACAGTGTTATCATATTTGCATATGTAGATCCTGTGGGTCATATAGTGCAAAAAAACTGTCCTTCCATAGGACAGTATGTTACATGTGCATATGGGTAATACAAAGAGCAGTCACTCCAAGCCTTCTCCCCAAGATCCACAGTTACCTTTGATCCTAGAAAGAGGATTTGAAGGAAAAGGTTTCTTTCTCGTGGTGCTTCATCCTCCTCAGTGTTCAGTACAAAGAAGAGAGGAGTGGTATGGGTGAAGGGGCTTACTGCTGAGGGAAAGGCACTGATATGGTTATGAGTAATGACCAGATCAGTAACCAATGAGGTAAATGAAAAGTGGAAAGAAATTATGAAGTGGTTGAGGCTCCAGTTCTTGGCTTGTCTCTGCATAAGCAGTGGCCAGAAGGACAAAATATCTGCATCTTAATTTTGCAGTGAATAGGACTTATTTGTCAAGGTGCTGGTCATTTAATTCTGCACAGCTGCTGGCCTGCTTCTGTCTCAAACATGGGAAATGAGCACCTCTACCAGCATGATAATTCTGCTGAAGGAAAGCCTAGATTAGAATTAACAGGCCTGTGAACAATTGAGAGTACTGCAGCTACCCTGCCCTGGGTTTTCCTCAGAGAGGTCTACAGCCTACATATTTGAACATGAATCTTCAGTGAGAGTTAGATTATAAAAGGGTATCAATTGATTTACATAACTTAAGGATTTGGCACCTATTTGACATATGCATATGAAATGAGTTAATCTCCTCAACCGTTGCTTAGTATATATCTGCCGTATTTTGTTTGTTTGCTGCTCTGTGGTACTTTTTGCATTGCTATTCCTGTGCTAACAATGTTAAAGCAATGTAATGTTAGCTGTTAATGTATAGTGTAAGAAAAATTTCATAGTGGTGCCATACTGTTAACTAGAGTTGTACCAACAAAATTTATGTCATTATAATTCCACATTTCCACTGAAATAGGCTAATAAAAAATCTGTTACTGAAGCTGTTAAATTGGAAGATGAAGACAACATACTCAATGGGGAGGAAAGTTTCACTGTAACTGAATTTTGCACTAGAATAGTTGTTCAGGTGCTTTGGAAATAGGACCCCCTGAGTACTGGACAGGATTCTCAAATTTCTGGATATTTTAATAGAAAGAGAAAACTGTGCACCTGCCAGCACTGAAAAGTTCAGAAGCCATAACTGCAGAGAAATCTGTCTGCAATAAAAGACCTGACTTACAAAAAACCAGGGTACCTACAACAATGTTCTCCATGAATTTTATTTTTTATTTTCCAAAGGGTGACATATTCCCTCCTGACAGTAAAATTACTTCCAGTTTGTTTTAAACAACCTTCTCTTGTATAGAAATAGCTAAAAGCAGTGGAGATTGTGCTTCCTTTGCTCAAAAGCCCTTTTAGAGGCAAAATTATACTTTTTCAGTTACTATTCTTGCCAGCAGGAGGGCTGTAAAATTGTAGTTATATCTGTGTTTTTAAATAATGTGACCTTAGAAACAAAAAAAAAAATCATTCTGCATCATTCTTCGACCTACTCAGGTGTAATTAGGTTAGTTTCTGTGATAACAATTTAATTCAAAGGGGACAGATCTAAATATTATTTGCCTTTCTCAGAGAAAAGTAATTTCTTATTAGTCTCAACAAGGCAAAGCAGAAAATTCTGGGATACTGATTCTTTCTGAATTGTCCTGAACTGCTACATTGCCTTTGCCTGATAATTTAAGATTGGGACTAAAGAAGGAGCTGAATATCTGCTAATCACTCTCCTCTACCTGAGAGCAAATATGTATAAGGAGCCCAAATAGGAAAAGCAAGGTGCACCTTAGAAAGCAGGTCTTCCTAGGGCCAGGCAATACTCAATGAGACCTTTCATCCACGTCCACATAAGTGATAATATCTGTCCTGGTAAGGAATGCCTGATTTAATCCTCTCAGCTGCTAAACTTCTGTAATAGTCTCCCAAGGAAAGATGTTGATTTCTTCTACAAATTACACATCTGTATATCCTAGGATACTTGAGGCTTGTGATAACCACACTCCCATTTTTTTTATTAGATTAATTTGTGATTTAACATAAAATAATTTTCAGAGATGAAGTTTAAGTTCTGCTGTTGTTTTGTAACTTTTAAGCTGGAAAGCATAAATAACTGAGAAAAACTGTGAAAATGGAAACAAAGTTTCTTGTGAAAGCATGAATCTGGTGAAGACAGCAGCAAAACTCATGGATTTTGGCAAGATGAAGATTTTACCTGTGATGTCTTCTCCTGTTCTACCACTGTGAACATTTTCTTGACAAAAGCATTTAACCTCTCTGGCCTTGTTTTCCCATGCCTGAAGTGGAAATAAAAATATACAGCAATCACTGTAGGGATCTTTGAATATCTTTGCTGAAAAATAGTTGAGTCTGAAGTGGTGTGAAGCCTTGTGTCTCAGGTGGAATTAATTGGCTTGCCACACCTCTTTGAGTCGGACCTGCTCAGCTAGTTACCTCTTGGATTGGTCCTGGACTGGCCTCTGGCCACTCTGAATATTGAGGCTGTAGTTGAACATCACAGCTCTCCAGCCACCGTCCACAGCCTCAGTGGATCATCTACTGTGCCTCAAGAGAAGGATTTTACTGTAAGCCAGATTTTAGCAACAAAAAAAGAAGCAGGTTATGTTATCCAGCATTTGGCAGAGTTTGGTTTTTTTTTTTTTTAAATTGCAGGTGCAAGGAGTAATTCCCTGTCTCTCAGCTCAGGCTCAGCATATACAGGTTCTGTTTAGGTTTCATGGAGGAAAAAACAATTTCAAACCCATGTGCCTTTCTGACTGTCCTATCAGCATTCTTTTTACTTTTTTAACTCTCTACTCTTCCCCCCTCCCCCCCTGCTTTCCATGCTCATCACCTTTCCAGGTTAGAAAAGAGGAGTCACAGAGCCACAATCTTTATTGTTTCCAACTTCCTCAACCTCCTTTTTTGATAATTCTGATCTAACCATGGAGAACTACTTGCTGGCATCCTTCCTCTATGGGCTTGACAGTGCTAGACCATCTTACCTTTTTCCTTTACCGGGAGATGAAGTCAGCTGCAGCGAATGTAAAACCGAATGCCCGTGAATTCTACTACCCATCACACAAGGCATTTGAGATTATATATAACTGGTTTTTAGCAAAGACTTGATTTCTGCTGTTTATAAAGACTCTCTGGTGCCTGTGAGAAGAATAGCAGTAATATGCAAAGGAAGGTTTATGAGTGATTTGAATATTCTTCCTCCATACCAGTAATTAGATTTTAAAAGATTTCATGGAGTGGAGCAGCTTCAGAAACAACAATTCTTTTCTTATTACTATCAACAAGGGGTTGCTGAAAGATGTTCAATTATTTCCCCCCTCAGTAATACAGTTTAATGCATAGAAATTAATAATGTTTTATAAAAGCTGATGGGCAACACTGATTTTTACAAGTGGCTGTTTCATTATCTCGGATATTATTATTGATTAATTTTATGGTAAGGCCAGAGCACATCTATTTGTTTTATTATAGGATTGCTTACAATGCGTAGCAGCTGCTGCTGCCAATTTGTTTAGTGAGGAATATATGCTATATTACAGGACTTTGTTTCATATGATTTTATTAACAGGAGGATTATCGATATCCATGGTTATATTTACCTAATGTTATTAGTCTATAACGCAAGAGAAACAGTATGCATTTGTGTGTGTGAAACCAGTTTTCTGTCAGTGACATAAAGATCCTTGTAACAGCCTGTTTTGTTCTGAATGCTTAAACGGCTCTGTGATCGCATGTGCAGTGTTAGGTAAGCCTTTTTTCTCTAGCTGCTGACTTGTACTGGCTGCTTATTCAAATTAGAGATACAATTAAACAAAGTGCATTAAAAGTGTACTGATAAAAACTGGCAACATTATTTCTGTCTGGGCTGATAAACAGTACTTGACTTTCCCCAAACAATTCTGCCACCCACCTTCCTTCCGGCTATAAGTGGGATGTCATGGCAAAATGACAAATGTACCCTGTTTAATAGTTGTTCGGGATGAACTGCTTCACATTTCCTTCTGAGAAAAGGAAAAATTCTTAAGTATGATAATTCCTTCAGGTTTTCTTATTTCACAAAAAAACCCCTTGGTATTTTGTAATCTTCACTTTGAAAGTGGCGGTGTTGAGGTACAACATGTTATACCACATCCATAACTCTCCTGGGGAAAATCTTCACTTATGTAGGGTTTCTAGATCATGAAACAAGGCACATAGGTGGTATAGTGTCTGTGCTACAGGATTAAATGTTATTTTAAGGGATATTATAATTTTTCTACAGTGTGTAGGATATGTGAGTTGTAAAAAATAGTGAAATCGAGTTTTGTTTGCATACTCCTGGTACAGAGAAGGTCATTTTCTCAGCCAGGAGTGACGTTGTTTGAGATTTGCTTTTACAATTTATCAAGGAGTGTTCGGGTTTATCTGGTGTGCATGACACATGGCGAGCTAGATTAAGACCAGAACTTTTTGACTGTTAATACCAAACAGGAGAGAAAATGTGGAATGCAACTTTGGGAAAACATCAGTCATTTTAACTACACACCGTTTTATTGTTGATGGATTTTTTGCATACAATCTCAGCATTGCAAAAATCCTTTAATCAAAAACTTATTTTTTAATCATATTTCATATTCAGTGTCTAGGTTTTTTAAAAGATTTTTATTGGTTTTTTTGGACTTACTTTCTTTTTAAGCCTTAATCCTTATTTTTTGTGCCTGGTTTTAGGAGAATTTTCCTTGTGTCTGCACCCACCAATGCCATTTCTTGCTTTGAAAGTGAATAATGTTTATCTACTCTTTGAATACAACTTTACCAACAACTGTAGCTACTTCTGAGGACATATTTTATGGTACCATAATTTTTTACTTTCTGGTAAGAAAGTAATGTAGGACCTCACCTTGGTCAAAATACATAGCATCAGCTGTTTATTTCTCATCTAGTAGGGGCTTTATACTGTCAGTGACCTAATATGTTTTTGAAAAGTTCAAATTTTAGTAACCTTTTACTTTTAGGGATTCAGAAATGGATAGTGTATTGCAATTGTTCAATCTAGACACTAGATCTAGAAAGATTAGAGTACAGAAAATTTCAGCTTTTCCTTCTCAGAAAAAGGTGAATCTTCCTCTTGTAGTAGTATTCTGTGGCTACTTTGCCTTATGTGTTGTTTTTTTTTTAAATAACTACCCATGTTTCAAAGGTTCTTCAAATTAATATCTTTTTTAGGTATAACTTGACCTTCAGGTAGCTTGCACCCCTTTAAACTTCATACGGATAATACAATACTTTTGATAACTCTTTCCAGTTAGATGCTAGGTACTATAGAGAGTTATAGAGGAGAAAGACAAGTACCAGAGCAAAAACTTCATCATAATATTTAAATATGCATATAATTACAGTACTGAGGAACCAGAAGCCATTTTTTAGTTTGGTGAGGCTTTTTTGTTTTCTACACATAAACACAGTTTATCCATATGAAAACACAATAATTCATTGAGCATTCTGTGCTGAATTTCATCAGGCCTCTAACCTGAACTATCTGACCTCATATATATTTTTTTCTTCCTTTTTCTTGGGGGGGGGGAGGGGGGGTGTTTTTTTCCCTGTAGTATTATCTTCATGTCAAAATTATTTTTGGACATATTCACAGAGCTGGTTGCAGGCTGACATGAACTTTGTTCCCACTGGAAGGCAGCTGGTTGGAGGCCAGCTCCAGACAAGTTGCACTGCTTGAGGTCATGAACTGAGCTGCTCAGCAGGTCCTATTAAATGCATCCAAGTACCAGGCAGGCAGGGGCCCAGCTTGCAGTTCAAAGGCAGCTTGTGCCTGCCCACTTCAGAGCATCAGCAAGGAGAGCTCATGCCTGCTTGTCATTCCCTAGGCAGAAAGACCTTTGTCTGACCACAGTCTCCCTCCTTCTGGAGGCTCAAACAAGGAAGGCATTTAATAATTATCTATATGTATCTGTACTAACTGTTCTTTGAACCCCTTTCTCTTATTGTAATGTTTGCCTTTTGCTAGGGTTTCTTTTTGGCTTACCTTATGACACATTATTGAAACCTTTTGTTAAGAATTATCATATCTTTGCTAATTAAAACTCATGTTCTGTTTTAGCTTTTCTGCTTTTATCTCCAGAGGGATGGTGGTGCAGGGAGGCTTAGACTCGTCCTTATTAGCATATGCATTAATTTGTGCTTTTTCCTTTATCTCTTTTTCATGTTTCGTTGACTGGAGATTGCCAGTATGGTTACACTGGCCTGTCACTACACTTTCTCACTAAAGGTACTTGGACACTTAGTACAGTCTCTTTGAATAACTACCATGTCCTTTCCATCTCTTTGTCTCTCATTTTACTTTCCCAAGAGACCTGCTCTGCCTGTTCTCTGAGCCTGCTGGCCCTCAGGCTGCTGTGCTCATCTTTGCAGAATATCAGTCTCATCTTGCAGTCACTTTCACTCCAAGACTTTGCAATACCTGCAAAGTCTTGGTCAGGTATTCTCTAATAGAATAAAACCTATTTTATCTGTTCCTTTGAAAGTTTCATTTGGCTTTGTAAACAAAGAAGTGTCCTTTGTGCATTTTCACACTTCTCAGCATTGGTCTGAACTCAGTCCCTCTGTTAGAAGTGGGTCCTGCCATTGGGACAAAAGTTTTCATCTTTCAGAAGAGCCTTGGCCACCTCTGCCTCCTAGTGAGCTAAAGTGATGTTTCACATGGAAGATCCTGACTCCTTTCCCATATTCTCTTTACCACCCACACTCCCACCACCACCGATTTTCAAGTCCCAATAAAATTTTATTGTATTATTTTAACTAAATACTGAAAACAGTAATATCAGATTTATCCTGGATTGATATAATGTCTCTTGAGAGCCTCTCAGAACTATTTCTTGCAGTTTGCTTGCTGGTCAGGAATAGCTTTTCATTTATATATGAAACAACGAAGTCCTTCTACTACATGATAAACATATAGTCATGAATATACCGTATTTTCTCATAGCCTGATGTGAAATGAATGCCAAAAGCAATTTTGAGATTTGCTCAAAACTTCATGGGGCTGGCTCAAAATCAGAAGACTTAACTGCTGTTCCCCCCTAAATAAAATCTGAGCCTCGGACATTTTTGGCTCAGGAGCTGCCCGAGTGGGTATATTTTCTATGTATTTAGTAACCCTCACTGCATCCTTTTTCTAGAAGTTCAACTTGAACCTGTAAACAGGCATTAAAGTTCCTGTTAGCAGGAAAATGATGTAGTTGTTCTCCTTCCCTGCGTTTGAAAACTGTGTATTTAAATGATGGTGACTTTATGCTTTATATGATTGACATTGTCAAATTACTTTTATAGATTCTTGCTTCTCCAGGATTCGTTGAGTGCTGCCAGTCATTGTTTAGGGGTTCCTCTTCTTTCCATTTGTGTTTATATTGGTCACTTTTATTTCAGTGGCACTGTGAAGAAATAGTTGATAGGAGAATGACTTATTGCTGCTCCATTACAGAGCACAAAACAGCTTACAAGAAACACTTCTCAGCCTTTGAAGTGAGCTTGTGATAGTTTCTTTTTTAACTTTTAACTTACTGTTTCCTAAGGAAGCACTTGTGTTTCAAAATATCACTCAGACTATTCCACGTATTTAATGAGATTAACTGCTCAAATAATACATAATTCTCTGTATGTGTGTGTATGTATATATGTATGAATGTGTTATGTATAAAACATAGTAATCCTTTACATTTAACAAAAAGTTACCGCTTTAAAAATTAAGCTATTTGTATGAGAAATGCCTATATGGTCTTATATTCTTTATTTGGTACAAGTGAATTATTTTAACAATACATTTAGCACAATTTTAATAAACATAGTATTGAACTAGTTATTAATACTTTTATTGACTTTCCATTAAAAAAAAAATGAATCACAACTGGTAAACGATGAGAAAAAACATAGACTTCAAAAAATTAAAAAACTTTGATAACTTTGGGAACACAGCTTGTGTTTAGTAGCATTTTTAAACAAATAACTCCTGGAAAAGGGTATTGAATATTAATATATACTGATGGAAACTCTCTGAAATCAGGAACTGAATGTACCCCAAAGTATCTTCTGTCTTTTCACCCTCTAAAACTGATTCTTCAGGACATGTGGGAGGTATGTTGCTAGGGAAGATGAAAAAGACAACCTCACTACCTAACCTTGTGTTTTTTGTTCCCTTAACTTTAAGAGTAAAAAGAATGCTTTGTTCTTCTTTTTCAATGCCATTCTGACACTAGTGCAATAAACAAGCATACAAAAGTGATTTTCTGTTTTGATGCCTATTTCAGAATTTTCAAGTTAACAATATAATAGATCTACCAAAAATGTGAGTTGACTCTGAAAACTAGTATCAACACAAGGACTGTATAATGCTTGCATTGTCTAACTTGAGTTTCTTACTTTTTTTGTTTTGTCTATAGACACCCTATTTTTGGCCATCAAATTGTTGGGAGCCAGAAAACACAGACTACGGTCAGTGTAGAAATCTTTCCTATTTCTTTTGAGAATTATGTATTATATGACTAAACACATCATTGCAGTCTGTCTTGTTTAATCCCACTGTTAAAAACATAATTATATGTCACGTAATTCCCGTGCAAGAATTGCTGATATTGAAATGAATGTGTTGTTACCTTTTCAAAGTTTATTAGCACTTTATTAAAGTAATATTTGGATTAGATCTGGGGGGTGGGGGGAAAAGCCTCAAAATTCATCAGAACCTGCCTTTCCGTTTACATCTTCTGTTTGCTCCAGGAAGTGTAATTATTTACAGTGACAGAGTCTCAGTGAAGCAGAGGACACTTTATTGATGGTTGAGCAATAGTTATTCTCCGATTCAGACCTGAAGATGTGCCCAATTTAGATATGTTATTTCTGATATACACCATGTGGAAAATTATTTATTAGGGAAACTGATATGGTTCTAATATGAACTATATTAGGAAATATCTAATTTCTTTGCCTGTTTCTTGGATTTTTATTCATAAATTACACATTCTAATTACTGTTGTGTGCTTAGACAGGAAAATCTGAAGATAATAGGTAGTAAAGTATTACCAAAAAACCTCACAAAATTATAACTAAAATTAGGTTCCTCTGTACACCAATTAATGAAGAAGAAAATGGATTACCAATGAGCAGTCCCCTGTTGATTCTAATCTAGACTGTAAATACTCAGCTCATCTGAAGACCAGGTCACTTATTTAGGTAACTAAGCATGTACACGATAGCTTACATTTTCAAAAACTCAAACTTTGAAAGTCTCTATTTACAGCTTTTTTGAAATTTAGATGCATGTTTGCTTGTAATACGCATTGAATCTCAGCTCTTGGGAGCTGAAGACTGCAGGGATGGATGGTTCCAACAGATGCTTCCTTTCTTTCCACAGTGGACACAATTTCAAATATATTGATAAATAAATCAATTTCAAGCTGAAACTCTCAGCAGAGCTGAGTGCCTGAAGGCAAGATAGAGTTTGAAAATAATGACAGTTTTCTCATCCTATAGAAGGAGAAAAATGTTCATCTTTCTTTAAAAAGAGATTTGAAGATGTCCAGGAAATAGTTATTGAAAGCTACAAAGGAATAGTAATTCATATAACACCTGAGTAATTATCCACTCCATATGAGGAAATTAGTCACTGAAGGAGAAATGCTTGATTTACCACTTATTACAATTTTTTTTCCTTTCCTTGAAAGTGTTATTTGCTTTTCTCAGAGGGGCTCTTCAGTGTAGTCTCCTAAGATGTTAAAGATCAGAAAGTAATTTACTATGGTTTTAAGAGACATTGAGTTGTTCAGCTGTAATGTGTATTACATTACCAGGAGGATTTTAATAAATAAATATGTGCTTAGCAGGTCTGAACTTGAGATCAGGCTGAGAAAGTTTCAATTAACATCCTTTACTCCAAATTAGGAGACATGACTTTCTAGTCCAGCTGATCATTGGATTGGGCAATAAATTACATACCTTAGTAAGTAGTAGTCTTATATAATCTGTCCAGTTTTTGCGTGCCAGGAGTACAGAATTAAACCTGGGATCAGTTTCTTCATCATGTGAGGAGGTGCCTTTGTTGAACAGTAAACGTCCTTGTTTGAGAGCTTTTGAGATTTAAATATAAGACCTGTAAAATATGTACCATTTAGTGAATTTAAGGCCTTCTGGTACAAAGGGTTTAAGGAAGGGAAAGCCCCAACCTTTCCATCTCATTGCTCCTTCCGAGTCATGAACCAAAGGTGCAAGCCTGTAAGAAACTCAGTCGCAGCTCCTCCATGCAACAGGGTCAGAGCATTACACTAGATCTACCTAAGGCGGCTGTACGTCACCAGAATCGGCTAATGCTAGAGAGTTCACAGGAAAATTTAAGACAACTTTTCAATAGTATCTTATTAGGTTAGCATCTTCCCACTCACAGAAATTAGCATTTGCCTTATGGCTGGAGGATTTTTTTCCAATACCTTTCTATGAATACAAAGACAGAGCAGATAAGAGGAGAACTGAATACAGCTACTTGCAAAAAGGATCACATAACTGGTGTAAACAATGATCATCAGAGGAATATAGTAAAATAAAACAGGTAATATTCAACAATCCAAAACAAATCTAAAGTAGGATTGAAACAATTTGAGGCTATTAAAGGATAAATTCCATCTCAAATACGCTCCAAAGAGATTCAGCAGATTTTCATGGTAATTCTATTACTTCCTAGAAAATATAATGAATAGAATTTATGTTATTACAGATATGTAAATGTGTTTCATACTTGTCATGTATTATGGTGCTGTGCAGTGCTTCCATTTTCATGGTTTTCTCCTGAACAGGCTTGAAACTGCACCTCCTAAAACTAATGACTGTGTCAGGCATTAGGAGTCTCTCAAGGCCAGCAAGAAACTTCCTCTGTAATCGTCCTTTGTCAAAATTATTAGCAAAGCAAACCACTTTCTTTGGCATTGACCTAATTTTACAAATCTTTGAAAACACATTACAATTTTATTTTTATTTAAAAATTACTCACAATGATTTACCATTACTCACCTATAGATAGGCTACTGTCTGGAATGTAGCATACTGGAAGGAAAAAAATAATCTTAAACTAGAAATTAAATGAGATCGAGATACTGCATGTACTAGATTTTTACCAGTGCTAACTCAGAAAGAAATGCTATTTACATCTCTGTATAGTATGTTAATATTTTCTCTAAAATATAATTTCTTATTCCATTGAGCTTGTAATATCAAATTACATTACATTAAAAATTATTTATCTGAAGAAGATGTGCAGAAAGACATATGAAAATAGAATCTTGCAAAATGTCAAGGAACTACAGACTTTTTCTCATAATAAAGCTATAGTGCTATGTCTTGTTGGCAAAAAGAGGGCTTGGATGAATTTATCGTGTAACAAAGTGGAGTCGTGTAGCCCTTTGTCTTGATTGTAACTATCAAAATATTAACCGTCTGGTCATTCTGAGGTTACTAAGAAACTTAATTTTCACAAAGCACTGAAAATCTCCCTCTCTTTTTCTTGAAAATTATGCTATAAGAGATGCCTCAAATTGCAAATAATTTTTTAAAAGGCAGGTTCTTAAGTTCCATCTGTTGAAGATTAATGCCGTATGTCTTGGAGTCCACCCATGCAGGACATGTTGTTCTGTGCAGATTCCCACTGGTTTTAGGCTTTTAGGATTTTACTAATGAAAAGTGGTATGAACATTATAAATCATATTAATGATTTTTTAAGGCCAGTGTAGTTCAAATAATTTTGTGTTTCCTGTGAGTTAAGTCATGTTCCTGAATTATGATTTGGTTTTGTGACAAATAGAAGTGAATCTGGAAATGAATGCAGCTAATGGCTGAGCATGCAACCTTCCTGTAATCATCTTCTCTTTTCTTACAGATGTAATTTGGAACTGACAGAATTTTTTTCTGGCAGATTAAAAACAGTTCATATGATTAAGAATTAATTAAATATGGACACTTGTTAAGTCCATTGCATCTCAGAAAGGGGAAATACAATGCCAACTATGAAACTGTTATTCCATATGCATTTGGCCTCAGTTCTCATGGGACCGATCAGGTTCCCTTAAAGGTTTAGTAACTCACAGCTGTTGCAAATTTGAGGAATTCAGTTCCTTGCTGTTCTCTTATTTGAATGAGACAGAAAAGAAATATGAAAGGTTAGAGGAACATTCCATTCACAACAAAATAACAATTATCTTTATGTTTGAAAGGCTCAAGCAAACAAATGAACATAGTTGTGACAATGTAAGAAGCTTATAAGAGTTTCAGATGTATAAGGTATGAAGAAGAATTAGTAACTTTTACTCATTTTCCCTAGTGCACTTTTGTTGATGGTTAGACTCAAAAGTGTCTGTGACATACAGATCTTTTCTTACAGTTAACTGCATATTTAAAAAAGAAATATGTTCAAAGGAGATACAGAATAAAATTTTGAAAGTGCCTCAGTCACAGTGTTGAGGAGGTTGGGACTAATACTAGACGACAAGAGTTAACTGCATCTATATAGTTGCAAGAGGATGCTGTTTCAGCCTTGTAATGACCATGTGATGTGTAAATGATGCTAAATGAGACTATTTTTTAATATATTTTAAGCAAATTCTTAAATTCTGCTACTGTGAAGAAGGACAAGGTCTGAAAATATACATATTTTCAATAGCCTTCCAGGTAATGTGTTGTAAAAGCAGTCTGGATAACTCTGTTATCCAGTCTGAGTTACAGGAAAATAAGGAAACCATCTACTTTTGCTGTGTGAAAGTTGTTATCTCATAGCTGTTGTTCTCCAGCATTTTTATGAAAGCAAAAGTCTGTCCTTTTTAGATTTGTGTCATGATCAGCTAACAAGTGCATCCATACAAAGCTTCCTTCCTAATGATCCCTTATTATCACTGTAAACTGACAGAGACCTCTCTGTGTTCAGCCTCTGCTGCTCCACTCTGAACACGAGCCATCGCACCTGGCTCATCTGCCTCTCCTCTGCCAAACTTGCAGTCGAAAGAGTATATAGTGCACAAAAAGTAACTGCAATCACATATCATATATTTCACATATCAAAAATTTTCATATAATTTTCTCCCTAGAGTGTGTTGCCTACATTTTTTATGTGCCTAGCTTCAAATCTCCCTATAAAAATTTGATTAGTTCATGAATTTTCTCTCCCATTTGTCTTGCTGCACCCTTTTTCATGGAGTAACTGTCTAGAAGGAGAATTGTACAGAGGATGCATTATATACTCTCTTTGCCCAAATACTCAGGCAGGATTCCCTTGGCAAGTTTATTAGTAAGCTATTTGTGTTTGGGAAATAAGTCCTATTGCTTACCTTAACTCCGCTGGAAAACTGCATGTGCTCAGCATCTCTGGAAATCAATCCATAAATATAAGTCAGTAGCTTGGAGCAAAACTGGTAGCAGAGTAGCATTTTCTTCTATATAAATTGTCAGATATGAATAAAAAT